TCACAGGTGCGTATTACTGTTGCATATATTTATACTAATTGACAAAGCGCATTAATTCCTAAATTTTTCTCTTATCTTATAGAATTAATTTTTTTCTTTTTTTTTTCAACACTGAATGGAACAGGCGACGAAATACTACAAGGATATTGCTAGTCGCCGCAAAAGGAGCGCGCAAGGAGGCACTTTAGAGGCAATCGTTGCGCCGCTTTAGGAACAATGGCCCACACAATTACTTAAAACTGGGTATGTCACGTATTATGTATTGTATGTATTAAATCGCTTAATTCTACCTTACCCTACCTAAAGAGCTCTCTGGGGGTGGTAAGGGGCGATATAAATGCGTAAATTCAAATTGGGTAAGTATGTGAGCATAGTTCGCGCAAGTATTAATTTTAGATTTTTATATTTTACAGGCGCAGATGCATCACCTTTGGAGTTTCCCTCACCGTTCGCACTCTAAAGTGAAGCTCGGCGTAAGTGCCTATGTATGTATAAATATATTTTATAAATACAAATTAACTAAATTTAACGATAAAAAAGAAAATCTACTCCTTTTCAGGGAGTGCAATTAGGAGTCTTCTTCTGACTCTGCCAGGGGCTCGAACGAGGATGGGCAAAGCAATGGAACGGACTCACTCGGTGGATGTGGGCGGGGTCTCGCCTGTGGCCGCTTCTTCGTTGTTGGAGCCCGGTCGTTGGTGGCTCGTCTCGTCGCCTTCAGGTTCGCGCCGACGCTTGCTGGCGGCGTCGCGGATATGGCTGGTTTGCGCCGCTGCACTGAATCCTGGCCTTTGAATGTTTCGTGGGCCTCTCTGGTGCACGAGCTGGTCTCCTTGGTGCCGGAGCCGTTAAATTTTGGCTTATTTGGTTCGTCTCTCGTCGCACTTAAGTTTTTAAGTCTCTTTTAATTTTTTTATTATATTTTTTTTTTTTTGACTCGAGCGGTTTGATTTATATATATTTATTAAATGGCAAAAAAGAACACAAAAACAAAACTTTTATCGGTCTGTTAAGTCATTTGTATTATGCGCCGGCTTAATTTGCAGAAGGAAAAAATTCGACTCTGTCGAGCAGAAATGCAATGTACAACTTTTATGCTCACTCCGAGCTGGCACGCCCGCCGTTAACCGCTGAACAAATCGAACTCCCCGACATTTTGGGCAGCCACTCCATCGGTGCCGAATTTCGGCACACGCATACATTTGCGAGGCGGGCACCGTTGCTGCTCATCTGCACAGCTGCATTTTTTTGGGTCAACGGCCCAAATGAAGGCCAAGGGCATATCCAAGGGCATGCGATCCACTCTCCTCGTATTCCCTTTAAGAGCGAACCGGGCGGCCAATAGCAATCGTCGCTTTTGGCGCCGTGGATCGCATGTCTGGCGTTGCCACCCTTCAAAAATTTGGGCTCCGCCGTGGGCCCAGCTTCACCCCGCATACTCCGACCATATGACAAAAGATATCGGCGTGGCCGATAATATCGCACGCAACCAACTGAGTAACCCTCGGTACTGCCGATAACGTCAAATGCAACATAATTAAATATATAAAGCCAACCACACATAAACATATAAGCATTCCAGCGCACTTGAAACTTGATCAACCACTTGCAATTTGTCGCCAGCGGGCCAGTGGTTACGCTATATATATATCTTATGTTTATGCCTAAGATAAGAACATTTTGTATTTAGCTTAAGTTTACTTCATGAATAAAAGCATAAATGAGAATTAATAAAGGAACTAAACGGAGCAGACGCTCCGCATAACAAAAGACGTATCGTTTATCAAAGAACCAAAATTAAACCAGTAAAAAACAAGTAAGAGGTTCTAGTCGGGAGCTCCCGACTAGGCAAAACCCTGAACCCTTTTATTCCAACACAAAATAAGTTAAAAAAAAAAGTTCCTTTGGCAGGGTTCGAACTCGCAACTGACCGCATTACTTGCTGTCGACTCTACTCAACAGGCACACCAGCAAAAAAGAAATGCTTTCTCCGGTAGGGCTTGAGCTCGCGACAGACCGCACCACTTGCTATGTCTCTACTCAACAGCCACACCAACAATTAAGTACTTATGATAAAAAAGGAACTAAAATAGCATTACAGAAAAAAGTCGCATTTACCATGCTGTTAGAATGCGCAGCAGACGCGCATGAATGCGTGTGTGCATGTTACAGAAATTCTTAAAGCTGCTGCCCCATCCAATTGCGCAGTTGCATATAACTTTGTTTTTTTCTTAACCGATCTTTATGAAATTTTCTACACTATATCTTATTGTACTATAGAATATTTGTGTATTCTTAAAATGTCAATTTCATTTAAATTGTGGCTTTAATTGGTTGGCAATAAAATTTGGGTTAGTAACTAGATTTATAGCTCTGGGGTGGTAGCAGGGAAGTGGTGATAGGTAAAAAATGAAAGATACTTGACACATATATATAATATTCTAGAAGCAACATATCATGTTTGGTGACTCTAGCTCATATTATTTACCCAAGTTGCACAATAAACAGGATTTTGATATCGATTGCTTGGAAACAGAGTAAGTTATCGATTATTTGAAACAAACTCGATCTGCGCAGGCACTACGAGCACCTACATCTAAAATTTGAAGTCTCTAGTTGTTATAGGTTCTGAGATCCTTGCGTTCATACATACGGACTAACGGACGGACAGACAGACGGAATCGGCTAGATCCACTCGGCTATTGATGCTTATCGAGAATATATATACTTTATGGGGTCGGAGATGCTTCCTTCTGCCTGTTACATACATTTGCATTTTGCACATATGCAATATACCCTTTTTACCCATTTTCAATGGGTTCAGGGTATAACAAGATATAACAGTATGAACAGCTGAAATAGTTCCTTCTGTGTACCCAACACAAGCATTCCAAAGCAAACGAAATTCAAAGATGTAGGAAAATTATTCTAACTGACGACAATTTCTTGACCAATGGGAGTATAATCAAATATTCAATTATATTTGTATGCGTGTAAATATACATACATAACAGCATATTTGAATGTGTTGTTATCCACTGCTCTGGCAAAGTCTCTGGCTGGCAAAGAAACAATTTTCTTAGTTTTTTAGCACAGATCACGACCTACCCAAAATTTCTGTTGATATATGAATGCATTTTGTGTACTGAGGTTGGCTCCGTACAAAATATGTATTTTTAAGTCGATGCAAATATTTATGTAATTTTTTATATTTAAAATTATTAATTAAATTATTATTATTTTTAAGTAATACAAAAAAAAATTAAGGAAATAAAAGTGAAAATTTGTTGTTTTCAAAGATACACTTAATAAATTTTTATTTTTTTTTTTATTTTATTATTTTTTGTTCGAATAAAGAACAAAGTCGCCGCTCGAATTAGCTACCGGTGCAAAATCGGTACCCAGGGAACACCGCGAGGAGGCCATTATAATAATAATGGGGACATAACTAAAAATGACCTTCGAGTCGACTTGAAATGTAATATTTATTAATTGGAGAATAAAAATAATATTAATTTAATTTAAAGAAATTATGTAGTTATTGCACATGATGCGCCTTGTGTAAAAATTATTAAATTCTTAAATTTTTCTGTAAAATTAATCGTTAATATCTAGGGTAATATATCATTTAAATATGCATTTCATGGATAAAGCACAAGCACTTTGCGTCGCTCGTAACTTCTAAACATTTTCGCTCAATGTACTTCGAAAACGAAGCAACGCAAATCAGCATCGACCAGCTTTGCTGAAGGCAGGCTGGCGACTAACTTCGTTGCTCGTGTCAGCATCAGCAAGCCGCGACTTCGGCATTCGTTCGTCTGATCTTTGGAGAACGAACAACCAGTCGGCAGGCATGCCGTACGAAGCCTCAAAGGCCAGATGAAAGGCCAGGCTAGAAATTTTGCGTCGCATTCAAATGTATTATATTGTCTTTGCCTAAACCCATTAAAAATGGGTATAAGGGTATATTGTATTCGTGCAAAATCCATCTAGTCGGGAGCTCCCGACTAGGGGATACCCTGAACCCATTCTTCCAACATCAAATGCATATATATATTCTATTTTAGAAGCTATATTTCAAGTTTGGTGACTCTAGCTCTTAATATTTACCAAAATTGCCCAAAAAACAGGATATCGATATAGATTTTTATTATCGATTGCTTGGAAACGGAGCAAGTTATCGATTATCGGAAACAAACTCGATCTGCGCGGGAGCTAGGAGCATCTACATCTAAAATTTCAAGTCTCTAGCTCTTATAGGTTCTGAGATTCTTGCGTTCATACATATGGACGGACGGACAGACAGACGGACATGGCTAGATCGACTCGGCTATTGGTGCTGATCAAGAATATATATACTTTATGGGGTCGGAGATGCTTCTTTCTGCCTGTTACATACATTTGGATTTTGCACAAATACAATATACCCTTATACCCATTTTTAATGGGTTCAGGGTATAAAAATTGCGAATGTCCATATGAGATCAAATTTTACGAAACTCTCTGAAGACTCCTTTGTTTCGCAGTAAAATACAACTTTTTATACCTTTATACAATCACCGTTAAATAAAATAAAAGCTTATTTTATCAATAAAAGCTAATTGTTTTTAAGGATTTTTTCTATGGAACAATATGATATAGCGGTACATGCACTGTCTGATGGGTGGGTGATAAGGTGGAGCTATGCATAGTTTCAAGACTATAGCTTTTGAACTGAATAGAAACACATACCCAAATCGACTCAACAGTTGATTGTGAAGAAACACACCCAACTTATTAGGTAGTAGATGCTCGTTCTCAGTCAGATGCTGTATTTGTTTGATGGAACGCTTTTAGCGAATAATGCCTGCAAGTACAATTTAGTACCATATTTTTAGGCAATTTTTGAAGATCGAAAGGAAACTCATATGAGAAGATGATGGAAAATTGAGTATGAAAACGCCGATTTGGGGCAAACCATATAGATGTACAGAGATAACAGGTCCTTTCTGATTATTAAAACTTTTTATTTGACCTTAAGAATTGGTGGTACAATTTTTACATTCCTAGATTAATTGCTTTAAATCCGATGTTTTCGTAAAACGTTAAGTTCCAAATCTCGTGTTTTTGGCTTTTTAGATGGATATAAAGACGAAACCGGGGTGCTAATCTCAGTTTCATAATATTTATGCGATGTAAAATTTTTTGTGTCAAAATTGTATTCATCATTGGAATAAGCTAGTTGTTTTCTAAATATGGCTGCGCTGCTTGAAACACGTGCATTAGGATGCGTTGGAGGTAGCCAAGAAACTTTTCGAGACGCTGAGTTATAAAAGTAGTAAGACCCACATCCATTATCATAAACATCTTTCCAATCGGCAGAAATTGGATATTTCCGAATTAATCTTTTATAACGACGAAGATAATTTTCTTTTGGCTTTGGCCGACCATTTGCCCATCTGTTGACACAGTATAATGTGCAGGTGTGCCATATATTATATGTGTTGGGACAAAACTTAAATCCATGGTGTGATTCTGTGACTCCTATACGTTCCTTTATCCTGTCTGGCCAAAAATTCTCATTAATTACAGTATATTTCGAATTAGTAGTGTTATGCTCATTATCATTCTTGTCGTCTTCATCATAATTTTCTGCAATAATTTCTTCTATTGCTTCGGCATTCGGTTTTTGATCTGAAAAATATAATTGAAAATATTAATCCAAGCTTTATTTCAAAATATTTTTGTTCAAACTAATATAAAATTTGTCTTATGAAGCTAGAAAAAAAAAGTGTAGTATAGTGTTTGAAGAAAACGGGTCTTGGACAGGCAGAATATTTCTGTTTATGGCAGAAACGGAAGTGGGAATCTGGAACGAAGAAACTTTTCCAATTCTGGTGAGCCAAACAATCAATTAATCATTAATCAGTTATTTAAAGCGTCAGGAATATTAAGTTTCTATTGAAGCTATATAATTAAGTAGACTAAAAAAGGCAAAGAAACATGATTATAATTAGCCTTTAAGGCGAGTAGTTTCTATAGAATGTTACGGACACACAAGACAGTAAACAATATTTATTTATATATATTTATACCCTGAACTCATTTAAAATGGGTAAAAAGGCTATAATTTATTTGTGCAAATGTATGTAACAGGCAGAAGGAAGCATCTCCGACCTCATAAAGTATATATATTCTTGATCAGCATCAATAGCCGAGTCGATCTAGCCATGTCCGTCTGTCTGTCCGTCCATATGTATAAACGCAAGGATCTCAGAACCTACAAGAGCTAGAGACTTGAAATTTGGTATGTAGGCCCTCCTAGTGACCGCGCAGTGCGAGTTTGTTTCCGCTAATAGATAACTACCCCGTTTCCAAGTAATCGATAAAAATCGTTATCGTAATCTTGTTTTTGAACAATTTTGGTAAATAATAAGAGGTGGAGACACAAAACTTGACATGTAGCTTCTAGAAATGTAAATATAGATATAGAATGTTAATAAACCAACTTGTATTGCCCACCAAGTTAACCCACAATTTTAATGCAATTAACTTTTTGAGAGTACACAAATATTCTAAACGCGCCTTTAGTGAATTTTATATACAGCATTATATTTGCGATTGTAGTCTTTTCTGTGCTGCTATTTATATATTATATTCTTAAAAGAACAATTTAAGCAATTTACGCTAGCTTCCGCTGACAAGTGGCCTGCCAATATATATATAACCACATGTTTTCTTTAATAACTTCTGTATTTCTAAAAGATTTTGATGCAATTTTTAACAGAAGATCCTTAAAAATTTCTGTGTTTCATAACAAGTCTCGATGAAATGTTTAGCATTAGATCTTATTTTACTATATAAAATAACCGTTTATTCTCAAAAAGGAAAACAGAATTTAATTTGTGGGCTACATTGGTGGGTACTTCCAATCAATCCATAGCTATAAATTGAAAGATACTTGATATATATATATATCTTATTCTAAAAGCTAATTGTTAAATTTGGTGACTGCAAGCTCTTAAAACCTAAGGAATTTGCTAGAAATAATAGTTTTAGTATATTCATATTTTTTCCTTATTTATTCTTCCTTATTATTTATTCCTATACTTTCTGTCAATTCTATTGAACTTACGCATGAATCCGAGCCGATGGGACTGCTTCCAGCTAAAGGAGAACCTGCCTTTCAGTGTTGGAATACAGAGGCTTGCATGCTTCAACAAACATTGCCGATATCAATGTAGAGCTTATTGGTCATGGCACCTTTCGGGGTAAAATAATAATATTTATTACTTGGTTCCAAATCGTTCCGTCAACCATAATCAGAAAGAAATGCAATGCTGTAGTTGATTTTGCTTGTATTGGTATAAGAGAGATATTTCCTTCTTTATGTTTCTTAAACGACCTTTGGATGAAATCGGATGTCTACTTCGCATATTTCCCGGCTGTGAACGTGGCAAATTATGTGCATAATGTGCATAACATTCATTATATACTACCGTTTTTACCAGTTGTTTGGTCATATACCTCATACATATATTATTTCGGGTATCAATAGCAATGTCACAATCCGATTTTGTTAAGATAATGCTTACTCTTTTCTACATACGTAATTTAATAATATACATGTATGTAACATATATGTTCTGAGATCCTTGCGTTCATACATACGGACGGACGGACGGACAGACGGACATGGCTAGATCGACTCGGCTATTGGTGCTGATCAAGAATATATATACTTTAAGTATTGCTAAGAAATTCAGGAGGTCATAAGTTAATCCAGTATATTTAGGACCATATACAGTAGAAAAAATAGAAGTTAATGACAATATTTTAATTAAAGATAGCAAACGAAATAAAAAGAGAGTACAGTTAAAACAGTATAATAACTGAATATGTTCAAGGAAATAGTCTGATCAACAACTAAATAAAATGTAATACAAAAAAATTGAAAAGTGAACTTCTTTTTGCGAGAAACAAAACATAAATAAACGAAAAAAAAAAACAAAACAATTATATAACAAACAAAAAACAAGTAAGAGGTTCTAGCCTGGAGCTCCCGACTAGGGGATATCCTGAACCCTCTTCTTCCAACATCAAATGCATATATATATTCTATTTTAGAAGCTATATGTCAAGTTTGGTGACTCTAGCTCTTATTATTTACCAAAATTGCCCAAAAAACAGGATATCGATATAGATTTTTATCGATTGCTTGGAAACGGAGTAAGTTATCGTTTATCAAAAACAAACTCGATCTGCGCGGGAACTAGGAGCATCTACATCTAAAATTGCAAGTCTCTAGCTCATATAAGTTCTGAGATCCTTGCGTTCATACATACGGACGGACGGACGGACGGACAGACAGACGGACATGGCTAGATCGACTCGGCTATTGATGCTGATCAAGAATATATATACTTTATGGGGTCGGAGAAGCTTCCTTCTGCCTGTTACATACATTTGGATTTTGCACAAATACAATATACCCTTATACCCATTTTTAATGGGTTCAGGGAATAACAAGTAAGAGGTTCTAGTCAGGAGCTCCCGACTAGGGGATACCCTGAACCCTCTTCTTCCAACATCAAATGCATATATATATTCTATTTTAGAAGCTATATGCCCAGCTTGGTGACTCTAGCTCTTATTATTTACCAAAATTAGCCAAAAAACAGGATATCGATATCGATTTTTATCGATTGCTCGGAAACGAAGTAAGTTATCAATTATCGGAAACAAACTCGATCTGCGCGGGAACTACAAGCATCTACATCTAAAATTTCAGTCTCTAGCTCTTATAGGTTCTGAGATCATTGCGTTCATACATACGGACGGACGGACGGACAGACAGACAGACGGACATGGCTAGATCGACTCGACTATTGATGCTGACCAAGAATATATACACTTTATGGGGTCGGAGATGCTCCCTTCTGCCTGTTACATGCATTTGCATTTTGCACAAATACAATATACCCTTTTTACCCATTTTTAATGGGTTCAGGGTATAAAAATAGTTTCCCAGGTAGGTCTCGAAATCGCGACAGACCGCAACACTTGCTATGCCTCTACTTAAGTAAAAAAAAAAACTAAAATGCTGTTAGATTCTTGATGTTTTCGGTAGCTGTGTCATCCAATTGCGCAGTTGCATATAACTTTGGGTTTCTCTTAACCGATCTTTATGAAATTTTCTAAAGTATATCTTATTGTACCATAGAATATTTGTGTATTCTCAAAAAGTCAATTGCATTAAAATTGTGGCTTAGATTGGATGGCAATAAAAGTTGGGTTATTTACTTGATTTATAGCTAGCTATGAGGTAAATGCGATAGGTATAAAATGAAAGATATTCTATTCTAGAATAAACATAGCAAGTTTGATGATTTCCTCAAAGAACAAAATGCCGATATCGATTATTTTCGATTGCTTGGAAATTGAGTAAGGTATCGATTATCGGAAACAAATTTCAAGTCACTAGCTCTTGTTCTGGTATCCTTGCGTTCATACATACGAGCAGACGGACGGAGGTCATGGCAAGATCGACTCGGCTGTTGCTGCCGATCAAGAATATATATAGTTAATGGGGTCGGAGATGCTTCCTTCTGCCTGTTACATACATTTGCACAAATAAATTATACCCTTTTTACCCATTTTCAATGGGTTCAGGGTATTAAAAGATTTTCGCAAAAACAGAATACTGCGCGGGCACTAGAAAGTCAAATGTTCAAAATTTCTAGCTCTTATGAGGTCCGTACATTTGCACAAAACCATTATGCCCTTTTTACCCATGTCAAAAGGTTAAGGGTATAATAATTGTACCAATAAATGCGCTGTTAATACGAAATGATATATTTCTTTAACATGGAATTTAAATTGTTATATATGTAAGTGAAATGGTCTGAAATTTAGCACTGTTCAAACGTCAAAATACACGGATTGAGTTTCGGTGCTATGCTAGTCCAAAAATGAAAACTTTGAAAATCTGCCGGGCTGCTTTCAAGTTGGAATTTAGTGGATTCACTATGACAGCAGATATAGCTGTGGACAACTGGGTACTGTGTTTTCATCTTCAGTGTCGGGGACAACTTATTAAAATAGCATTTAATTCAAAAGCCTTCTTTGTCTACTTGTTACTTAATGGGCAAAACAATAGTAGCTCAATGGTACGCATTCATTTCACTCTACCAAAACTATTAAAATTATAGTTAATTTATTGGACAATGCGCTTACGTTTTTTATATATGTAAATTTAAATCCAAGCTAAATATTTGAAAAAGTCTGCATTATTCATTTTGATAATCATTAATAAAGCTGACACCGAAATTGTTTAATATTGGTTCACTGAATGTATGTATGTATTCATATTATATACATATGTATGACACAATTATGATTTAATATTCTAATAAATTTACCATTTTTTATATTAAGCAGTCCTCGTGACGCTAGTCTTTGCAATAACATTGGTGGTAAACTCATTTCTATTACAGTGTTGATGATGTTTCTTATTCTTTAATAATATAATACCATATTTCAAATAATATAGTAAGATTAGATACTCGAGTAGATACTCGGACTCTCAAAGGGCACAATAATCGATAATTTTCTAGAGGGTTTTCGACTATGGACTGACTGTTAATACATCCACTTCCACATCTAATCGTATGTATTTTGTTGTCGTTAAGATCAGAGTTCGCATATAACCCCCATCACTCTCGGGTTGTCTGTCAAATAACAGTTTTTATCGGACAGAATGAAAAAGTTAAAGAAAACATATAACATTCTGTTTCTACACAGCAGACTCTAGGCACGAGCAGAGACACTTTTCGTCGTTTTTTATACCCTGAACCCATTGAAAATGGGTAAAAAGCGTATATTGTATACGTGAAAAATGCAAATGTATGTAACAGGCAGAAGGAGGCATCTCCGACCCCATAAAGTATATATATTCATGATCAGCATCAATAGTCGAGTCGATCTAGAAATGTCCGTCTGCCTGTCCTTCCGTCCGTCCGTCCGTATGTATGAACGCAAGGATCTCAGAACCTATAAGAGCTAGATACTTTTTTAATTTTAGATGTAGATGCTCCTAGTTCCCGCGCAGATCGAGTTTGTTTTTGATAAACAATAGCTTACTCCGTTTCCAAGCAATCGATAAAAATCTATATCGATATCCTGTTTTTTGGGCAATTTTGGTAAATAATAAGAGCTAGAGTCACCAAACTTTACATATAGCTTCAGGTAAAATAGAATATATATATGCATTTGATGTTGGAAGAAGAGGGTTCAGGGTATCCCCTAGTCGGAAGCTCCCGATTAGAACCTCTTACTTGTTTCTATTTGTGAAAGCTATTAAAAACGCTCGATAGCGCACCAAAATGAAATATAAAAACAGCACTCGGATAAATTATTTTAAATTCACATAATATTATTTTAATTTAATTATAAAAATCCCAATTATTATTAATGTTAATTATTAATTATAGGCGAGCGCCATTATGTGGCCACGCGGCAATGTCGTAGAATTATTTATTTGTCATATTAATTACTCATGATAATTTAAATTTATTTATTTATCCTCAGTACTAGTGGCGTCAAGCCGTTTTCGCATTTGCCCTCCAAGAAAATGTTATAAAATTGTCAATAATGCTAATTGTTAATTTATTAAATCTCTATATATAGAACTGTTTGTCCAGACTAACTGCCTGACTTATTGACTGACTGATTGGTGATCAACGCACAGCCTTAACCGTAAGAACTAGGAAGCTGAAATTATCACTGTAGTTACCTTATGTGAAAAGGTGCACGTTCAGACGGGGTTTCCGGAAATTCTACTCGCATGTGTGGGAAAATTGCAAAAACGTTTGTATGAACCTTTTTTGATTAAACATCCAATCGGTCTGAAACTAAATTTCAAAGATCTTTGTTCACATTTATTTGAATAAATGTTGGGTGTTTTGCACTCTTTGGAAAATTCATCCCTCCTTGGTGGAAATGGGGGTCAAATGGTGATTGACGTTTCGCCTTCAAATTCATTTCCAAGGATCTACATAAAAATTCATTTGAGACGTGTTTAACATTTTTCGCAAAATCTAAACTCCTTCGGTGGAAAGTGCATGTCAAAAATTTTTTGTAATAAATGTTATGTTCTGTCCAAATTGCATCAGACTTATTTTCAAAGCTCTACATAAGAAAATAATGAACACTTGTTTCAGCGATTTGGCAAATTCCACTCGCAACAGTGGAAAATCAGTTTCAAAATTATTTTTAAAGCTTTTTGAGAACATTGATTTTATAATATACGTGACACGGTCAAGGCCGGGAAATGCCCGTTAGTGCGTGTATATTTGTATGTATAAGTAATATTGAACATGTTCGAGTAGAGAGGAAATGGTGGGTGAGATAAGGGTGTAAGATGGGTGCCCGTCGGAATTTGGGAGTTGCCCGGTGCATATAAGGCCAACTCATGGTGGGGAGGGCTGCGTTAGGGTGGGCCATAACAACTGTTCACCTAGGCATGTTTGCAGGTTGTTCGAATGTGTGTTCGAAAAGTATCCGAAATTCGTAAGCTCAAGTTTAAATATAAATTATTTTGTAGCCGACTCTTCCATTTGTCGAAGTCTTACTCACACCTGGTTAATTTAGGTCTAGCCGGCAAATCGATAAAATCAATATGAACTACAAGTATAAGAAATGGCGCACAATGAAAATAGGGATTCGTGTGAAATCGAGTTTACGGACGGTTACCCCTCTTTATTTACAATAGTCGTACGTTTTCTGTATTATTTATTTATTTATTAATGGTTGAGAAAACGAGTGTATTCGTCATTATTCAATAGATTATACATACAATAGATAATGGAATTAAATGCTAAATGCCTAGTTAGAGAATACACCGGCCGATGGAGGTGTTTTATTTGCCAGTCCGGCCAGCTGTGCCCCTTTTCACAGCTAATTTTGTCAGTGACGCTATTAGAGCCTACATCTAAGCAGAAGGGTGTAAATAGGAAAAAAGTGTTTTTAAGTAAAAATAAAAATAATCGTAATTTGCTATAATAATGAAGAAAATACAATAAATAGGAAAAAAATAATGTAAGAAGATTGTTAATAAAGTAAAGAAATATATGCTAGATACATAGAGTGTTAAGTAGGTAGGACAAAGAGAAAATTAATGGGAAATCGCCAACCCGCTGGGGGAAAAGTTACAGCCTGTTCAGCAAGCTATGCCCCCACTCATAGCTGGGAATGGTCAGCGACTTCCCGAAGGTATCCTAAAAGCAACGATTTTATTAGGCGTAGAGAAAGTTCGGTAGAGAAAACGTGATGCAAACTGTTATAATTTTTACATAGCGCGCGAAAAGGATTGTGCATAGCGTAGTCTGTTGTGCACGTATATAGGAATACGGGGAGAAGAGAATTGAAGACGCCCTAGCAGAAAAGGAGAATCCATATGGCCAACAATCAACTTATATAGAAAGACAACACCGAGAATTGTCCTACGGTTGGTTAACGACGGAAGATTAAGAAGAAGCAGCCTGCTGGAGTAGGATGGCAACCAAAGATTAGTGTCCCAACTTAAACCTTGTAAGGCAAAAAGCAGAAATTGTTTCTGAACAGATTCAATACGAGCCAGGCTATTGTTATACTGCGGAGTCCAGATGCAAAAGCAGCATTCAAGGATCCAAGTACACATCTTTTGCCTCATTAACGATGGTATCTAAGAGAAGATTGAAACAGAGTTTAGAATCAAAAAGAACGCCTAGATAACTAAACAATTCAGATGCAATTGATTGGCCGAACACCACAGTTGCATAGCGTTCAAATCGTCTTGTAGACGAGAATGATGTAGGGGATAAGTGTATGATAGAAAATGATTCATATCGTCCGCATATATGAGTACACGGGCATATGACAGAGGGCAGATCATTTATAAAAAGAGTAAATAGTTGAGGTCCAAGATGACTACCTTGAGGAACACCGGAAGTAACATGAACCTGTTTAGAGGTAGTCAGCCTCAGCATCACTCTTTGGGTTCTACATTTTAAACAAGAATTTATCCAATGCAAAAGAGACGGAGGGAAACCTATTCGGTCAAGTTTAAAAAGTAAAATGTCATGGTGCACAGAGTCAAACGCCTTACTGAAGTCATTTTAAATGACATCAGCTTGCATTTTTGAAAGGAAAGCATAATTTACCAAGGAAGTAAACTCAAGCAGATTGGTCGTAGTTGACCGATTCTTTACGAATCCATGTTGAACAGGGGAAACAACTGATTTGCAGAAATGCTGCAAATTCAAAGTGATTATTTTTTCAAATAATTTAGGAATAGCGGACAGTTTTGCAATGCCCCTGTAATTTTGTATATCAGACTTTCCACCTTTCTTGTGGAGAGGAATGATATAAGATTCTTTCCAAAATGATGGAAAGACAAATCTTCTGTCAAGGAATAGATTTAAAAGCTTTTGCAATGGATAAAAAAGGGAATAACTACACTCCTTGAGAAGACAACTAGGAATATTGTCAGGCCTAGGAGAGTAAGAAGATTTTAAAGAATTCAAAGCTAAAAGGAGAGAGGAGTGTGAAATAATAGGAGGAGGTATAGAACAAGAGGAAGAAATAGTATAAGGGTAAGAATTAGTATTAGGACAGACTAAAGAGTAAGTTGATTGGAAAAAATGAGCAAAGAGGTTAGCAGAATCAGTGTCATTGCTAGCCTTATCCATCCCGAAAGAAAAAGAAGATGGCAAACTTGAAGATTTACGCTTCAAGCTTACAAAATTATAAAACTGTCTCGGATTTTGGGCAAATTGCCTTTTACGAGTTAGATAATTCTCATAGCATTGAGAATTAACAAGAAAGAAGTTCGACTTGGCTATGGAATATTTAGGAATGTCTGTACACGAATTTTAGATTTTAAATTTTTTAGTTGTGAAAATCTGGAAGTAAACCAGGGTGGTTTAGAAGAAGTAGTCGAAGGAATTGACTTGGGAATACACATATCTAAGAGAGAGCTTATGGTGTTATAAAGAAAGTTAATAGTAGTATTCATATTAACCGAGTCATATAAGAGAGACCAATCGGTTGCATAAATAAGCTGATTCAGCAAAGAATAATTTCCTTAGCGAAAGCAACAGAGGGGCTTATTGGCTGATGAGCTGATGAGCACGAAATGAGAGAATAACAATTGAACATTGCAATCTCTAAAGTTGGATGATAGACATCCTCAGGAAGAGATAAAGGAGGGGACCTAGACACATTAGAAATATGGTAGTCGTTAACAAATACAAGGTCAAGTGTTCTAATCAAATGATTAGAAATTGAATTGATTTGAAGCAACGAAAGACCAGCATACAGTCTATAAAATCGTGCTGTGCTGAGGGCACTAGATAATTTTCGGCAGTGAATAATGACCAAGAGATGTTCGGCAATTTAAAATCACCCAACACCATAAACAGGTCATTATCACGCACGTGTGAAGAAACAATTTTAATACAAGTTATATGTTTCATAAAGGCTTGAATATCAGAAGAAGGGGGACATAAGAGCAACTAATATA